GGGCCGGGCTCCCGAAACCCTCAGGGACCATCCCTGCCCTCCCCGGCGGGCTTGGGGAGGCTCCGGGGCCGGGTTAGACCCTGGGAAATACGGGGGCTGTGGGAAATCGTCAGGGCCCGAAGTGTTGGTGTGCTTTTCGGGAGCTCCGAACGAGCTGCCTCAAACGGGAGCGTCCCTCAATGCTGAGTGAGTTTCTGAAGCTGTCAAGCAAAGAGCCAGGATCGTATGGACGCCTTAGGAAGTGTGGACAGTCTCTCATGATAAATGGATACCTGCAGTGAGCAGGTTTTCTTCTTTCACAGAATCACAGAATCACAGAATTCACAGAATCACAGAATCACAGAATCACAGAATCACAGAATGGTTAGGGTTGGAAGGAAACACAGTGGGTCATCTGGTCCAACCTCCCTGCCTAAGCTGAGTTGTCCAAGAGCACATGGCACAGGGTTGTGCCTATGGTCCATGAATATCTGTCTCAGTGAGGGAGGCCACAATCTCTCTGGACTATCTGTTTCAGTGTGTGGTCGCTGCACAGTAAAGAAGTTCTTCCTCATATTCAGGTGGAAATTGCTGTGCATCAGTTTCTGCCATTGCCTCTTGTCCTATTGCTCAGCACCACCAAGCAGAGCCTGGATCCATCCTCTTGACTTCCCTCCTACAGATACAGACAGACCTTCATGAGGTCTCCTCCCGGTTGTCTCAAGACTGAACAGGTCCGGCTCCCTCAGGCTTTACTTGTAAGACCAATATTTCAGTCCCTGAATCACCTTTGTTTCCTTCCATCCTTCCAGGTCCTGTGAACCCCCCTGATGTCCTTCAGGACTTCTGAGCAAGGGGAAAGACCAAGTAGAAAAAACATTAGAATGAATCTCTGATTGAGTGACAATGTGAAGGCATTTGGTTTGTGGAAAATATCCTCACTTTCTGTTGAGGAGAGTTTGTTTCTTAATTTACTCTCACAAAGGAATTATTCTAAAGGGCTAGCCTGCTTGGGTGTCTGGGGGCTGGTCAGAAATGGAAACATTGAGAAGGAATCAATGAGCTTCTGTTAAGTGCAAATGAAAACTGTAAGAGAAACCCAACTGGGATGTTATAGAATATAAAGAGCAGAGATTTTTCAGTGACTTCTCTTTTCGTGTTGGAAACTTGACACCAGCAGGAGATCATTTTTTTAGCACAGATTTGACCTAGTTTTTATTGCTACAATTGTTTGGAAAACAGGAATGTCAGAATCAATTGCTATAATCTATTTTGGAAGGATCAAGTGGACAGAAAGCACTTAAAAAATGGCATTACCTGTTTCTGAGTTGATGGCAATTGGAAACAAAGGATCTTGAATGTTTATGGGTCAATGGATAAGTCAGAAGCTGACAGGGTACTTAGCTGATATCAAATCACACTAGAGAACAGCATGACCTATGCCTTACCCACATACAACACATAGGGAAAGCACTGCTGTGCTGAGTGAATTTCAGTCTGAGTGACATATACTGAAGGTCTCATACTGCCAGTGTTAAAATGTACTTGGAATTTCAAAATATTTAAAATGTCAATTTCCTAACTCAAAAAATGTTGCATCCAACACAGAGGAATTCTATATTAGACCTCTTCTTGTCAGATGAAAAGGAATTGATCACAGAACTAAAAATTAGCCATAGCTTAGGTATAACTGATAATGATTTGATCACACTTGATATGTGCAAACAGAATTAAGTCCAAGCCAATAAGATATATATACTTAATCCTTTGGAAGTGCTAATTGTATAAAGGTGAATACTTTTGTAAGGTAAGTCTGTCGGGAGCAGAAATTTAATCTGAAGTGGGAGAATAGTAATTGGAAATGGTTTCAGGGTGGTAGAACAGATATCCACTCATCCAGAATGGCACAACTAAGGAATATGTTTGCTGAAAAGCCCGGGTGGTTTACAAGGCAAACATCTGCAAAACTGGAGGAAGAATGTGGCGACATTCATGTACACTGAAAGGAAGGAATTGTAGAAAATTGCTGTGGCAAGTAAAAGGTTATGAGGGAAATATACATATGGTCAACTGAGCTAAAATGAGGAAATTGGAGGGGTTTTGCAAGTATAAAATACAGAAAACAATCTGAATGGCAAGAATACCCTATTAAGACCTGAAGATGAGATCTTAAACCTTAATCAATGACAAAGTTCAAATACTCAAGATACTCATATTTGTTCTGTCATTTGGGAAGATGACTGTTGATGTAATTATGTTGTTAGTTTCGAAGAGTTGTTTGCTGTTCAAAGATGAGGGAGAGTGGTTCAGTTACTGAAAGAAAACTGCCATTAAAGCTTTTGGAATTAACATGTCTATCAATGTTCATATTCAGAAGTTCTTGAAACACTAAGACTTTTTAAAGGAGGATGAAGCTAGTATTGTTCTAATACCTTAAAGCCATAAAATAATAATTTACCAGTGTTACATTGATCAGGCAAAATACGGAATAGACAATATTGTTAATTCAGTTAACAAGTAATTTAAAAGAAGAAAGATATTTCCAGTTACTGTGGGCTTCTGCTAAAAAAATCTATATATCCTGGCAGAAAAATAGAGCCTGGCAATCAGACTTTGCTGTCTTAATGAGGCTGCAAGTTTTGCTTATTGATGTAATTTAATGAGACTTCACTAAAGCATTTGACTTACTATTATTTGGCTTTTTTGGATTAAGCACTTCAGTGACATAAATATTTGTATCCTGTACATAAACTTACAAAGAAAACTTGTAAAAACCAAAAAGATAAACCAGCAGATTTAAGATTGCTCTTAATATTCTGGAATGATATCTGGACTTCACAAGCAGACATTTATGCCATAGCTACATCTCGTGTGTTAAACATATATAATTCATTTGACTTGGAAGCAAATAAGAATTTTTTTTATGGAGATGTGTTCAAAGGATCCTGCATGCCAAACAATATGTAAGTTAGAGAGAACACTCTTTAGCAGAGAATCAAAGGCAGTCTACATCTCCATAGTAATATGAAGAGGCAGTAGCCTTTCTGTGGTTAAGGAGGAAACCAACTCCTATTACAATGTTGTGATCCAGCACCAATTTAATTTGCCTAGAAATGTTTGGCCTGCAAGTCCTGAAGAGGAAGGATGCTGTCCATGGAAAAAAACATCAGTTGCTAGCACTTTTTTGTTCCTATCATTAGAGTAGGTTTTCTCCCAATTCTGTAAGCAATGATAATGTCCAAGGAATGACAATATTGTAATGCTCTTTGTAAAAACTGTGTGAAAAATTAATTTGTTTGAAAAAAAAAATTGATTTCAGATGTTGGCATAATCAAAAATGTAACCTAGAGAGGCAAAAAATGTATTATACTGATGCAATGTATTGATCATTACGAGTAGGTGGTACCCTTAGGAAATATGTTTGTGCACCTTTAATGGTTACATGGAAAAAAAATTGCTGTGCTTAAATGTGGCAATGCCCAAAACTCACCAGGACATATCTGGATACTCCTGAATACTGCACATTAAGAAAATAAGCGTTTTGATTCCTGCCTACCAATCCATCTTTGGTCCCTAGTAATTCTGATTTTCCTATTACTTATCTACCTGTCCACTACACAAAAAAGCTGTGAACCTGAAGTGTTCCCATTCCTTTGCTTTAGAAGGTAGGAAAGGGGAAGAGTCTTGGTGAAAACTAAAATATCATGGTGAAAAGTATGAAGAAAAAAAAAAGGAGAAAAGGCCAAATTGTTAAAAATACAAAACCAGGGAACTAGAGAGGGGCAACACTGAGTGAGCTACCAGATAGCAATCAGTGTACAAAGATTTTCTTGGTGTTTGCCTGAGAGCACCTAATAAACTTAGTCATGAATGTTGGAATTACAAGTAATACAGCTTTCCAAAAGTCTTTCTCTTAAGTCTTTATATATCATGCTATTGTAAACCCTATATTCTCCATGCATTACAGACAAAAGTGCTCCAGCATGCACTTTATATCTTACAATAAAATGAAATTTATGCCATCAGTATCTCCTCCTGGTTCTGTTTACTTATTTCAGGTATTTTTATAGATCTGCATCAGATGGATTTTCACCTACTGGAACATTTGTAATATTGTCAACTGACTTGTTTGGCCTTCTTTTGAAAGCTGTCTAGAAAGATTTATATAAAAAGTTAATCAAACTACATCACTGACTCAGCTCATCAGTACAACTTTTTCATCACTATAACAATATCTCTGTGACATCTAGCTTTTCATCATGAATTATGGGGGAAAGGATAAACAACCCATTAAGAAATTAAAGGCCCACAAAGGTGCAGTTTGATAAAGGATAAAAAAAACCCACGGGGTATGTATAATAAAATCTCTCTCCCCTGAAGAGTGATTGTTATCTTCCTTTCATGAGCGTCAAAGACCTGGAGCTTCTCAGTGCCTCAGGCAAGTGAGTTTGAAGGTCTCCTTCATGATTGAATGGGAAACTGTAATCAGAATTAGGTTATGAATGTTTATCCTATAGAGCATTTAAAAAAACGTTTTATGTGTAGAACTGATACTAGTAACAGAGAGAAAAAACACTGTAATCACATTTAGAAAACTCTGTTGTATTTTCAGTATTCAGTGTGTTATTATCTGTTTATTCTGGTGTATGTTGGGACAAGCTGTTCCATGGACAGCTGAGATAAAGAGTTCTAATACAATAATTTGTGTAGTCTTCATTCTGTAATAAATGGAAGCCTGGGTAAAGGAATAGTGATGTACAGATAAAGATGTCTTTACAACCCCAAGAGAAATAAGTTATTCTTAAATAAGTTTTCATTTCCTGAGACAAAATATGCAGCCAATATTCTTACTGTACAGCAATTAATTATGCTTTTCTTTATCCTAATGGAAGACAGCAGTATTTACAGCCTTTCAGTCTCCTCTGAGTGAATTTCATGATTCTGCACGTGGTATGGCTTGTGGCTGAATGAGAATCTAACTAAATCAGAGGAGGTGCAATC